TGCGTGAACGGTTTCTATAGTTATCAATGGCCTCATCTGAATAAAAATATATAAAAGATGTGTGTTAGTTTAATGAAACTGGAACTCAGAGTCACTTCTCGTATAGAACAGTGGTAAGTGTAGGTTTTGTAAAGGACCCTACGTTGGGGAGCTGTATCTTCTTTCTCAATAAAATAATGCAACATGTTTTTATATAAATGAATGCCGAAATAAAGTATGACAGGGTACCCAAATTAAACAAAAAAATCGAAGGTGGTGTGCTTTTTCTTTTTTTTAATTTGCATCGGAATATTTCGTTGCTTGATTTTTTCCCCATGTTTGCCTAAATACATCACGACTTTCGTATAACTCTAATACTTTATATATTTGATAAATAATAGCCACATATATGTAAAATACTATCTGAAAAGTATATGATAAGGATTAAATTATTTCATGAGATACAGGCCTCCAAATTTCGCCATTTGTCGTTCGAGCAGGCATGTTTGGCACTTTTTAGAAAACGAAATATAATTGAAATAGATATAATTACTACATATTACAAGCAAGCTATACCCATAGTTTTTTTAAAAGTATTAGAATTCTCCTAATTTTATCGTTTTAGTTCTTCACTTTCAAATGTGCCTTCACTTTCAAATGTGCCCCCTCTATCAGTGCGCGTCAATGCAATGTCCACGTCTTCATGCCTTACGTTGTTTGCAGTTCCAAAATTTTATTTCCGCTCAAACCTAAGTTTGGATTCGTTTATAGCAGACACTAGACAATGGCATATAAAAAAACAAATAAAAACATCACATGATTTAAAAATGTCGACCACCCGCCCTTTGGTCGATCTTATATGAAATCACCCATGAACGGTGTTTTCACCTTGACCGGCAGTGCTTTGTATTGTGGCGGAGTCACGTCTGCACACCTTGGTATTTGTTTATTCAATTTGGCGGTTGCTGACCGCTGCCACAGAGTGGTCCAGAAGTCTCCTTTCCAGAATGGTTTCTTCTATAACCTCAGTTATATAGGAGCGTTCGTTAATTAACCCTTGTATTGGCTGCGTGAGTGTTAACACTTGAGTTGTTTTTGTAACATGTTTGAGAGCAGCATCGAGTTCTGCTTTCTCGGTGACTGGGGGGGGGTTTCTTGGGGTAAAACTTCTCGCTAAAGAATGATAGCAAAATGTGTCCAAAGGGGCTGCCTTGATTGGCAACAGAAAGAATAAAACAAACTCCGGAGTTTGTTTTATTCTTTTTGTTGTCAATCACTGTTACCAACACGCTCTTCAGTTAATGTGGTGCTGCCTTGTTTTTGATTTTTGATTGGTCATGTGTTTTATTTGTATATGTTTAAGATATACATGACATATGTTTTTCTTTAGGAGAGGGGGGTTGTTGATTGTGTATGCGCGTTATTTCTGTGTGTGTGTGTTTCTTCTCTTTTTTGCGGGGGGGGGGGGGGGGAGTAACCGCAACTGTGTTTGTTAACGCACCGCAATTCGGAGCACGCGGAGTGAAATGTCGCGCTGCAGAACCCAGGGACCCTGAGTTGCATCCCCAACCCCGTCCGTTTGAACTTGGGTGAGCATCGCACCGGTGTGTTGTCGTGTACCACTACTGCGTGATGCACGTTAAAAAACCCAGGCTAGTGGTGGTCGTGCACCGGCAAATTTTCTCATCGACAGGGGAGACATCAGAGGAGAATACGCCTGCCCCAATAAACTGAGCCGCGGCTAACCTCCGGCTGTCTAAACATACACACAACACAAGCATAGCTCGTTTAGTGTCCATGGGTCATCTACAACAACGCGCGGCCCTGACGTCACGCCACCGAGCCTCGAGGTGGTGGAGCTGTGAGCATGGCGCGTGCGGAGACACTTCAGACAAATTTTGGCTCTGCGCACACGTGGTGCCAGCAGGGGGCGTGTGGGCAAACGACAGCTTATTTGTAAAGGCGCGTTTTTTTATACAGGCTACCATTCGCGACTCCAGCAAAACGGACGGCACTTAGCGGGGAAACACTGAATTGGACGGAACAGGACCTTTCGCAATTTCTGCTCGTCCCTCGTTGCTTCCGTGAGTACACGTTCTCGGCGGTATATACGTGTGATGGAGCGGTTGTTCCGGTAACTCTGCCGTTACTATCAGTGCGTTGCCCAAGTCGGTCTTAAAAAGCCGCTGAAAAGAATTTTGTTTGACAGTCGGGTTGGGAAACGCGTCTCAAGAAATTAATTTTACGCGAAATTTTTTTTTTTTATTCTCGGCGCGAGACGCGATTTAGTCCGTAGTCACATCCTTTCCGCTTGTTTTCTCTCTCGGCATTTCGGGCGCGTAGAGGAGAGGTGGATCGGCTTTTCCTTCACGACCGAGATGGTCATTCCGAAATGACCCGTGACGTCATGGACTTCGCGGCAGAATTTCAAGCAAATCTCTCTCCGATAATATTGCTCTAAAATTTTTTTTTTCCTATAAAATTTATTTCTTGACACGCCTGTCCCGACCAAACTGTTAAATTGTTTTTTTTTTTTTTTTTTCGTTTCGGGGGGTTGCCGATTAAATCGAGCCTCGCGCCGTCAATATTGCTCTAAATCTTTTTTTTTTTCGCGTAAAATTAACTTTTTGACAGGCGTGTCCTGACCAGACTGTTAAAAAAAAATCTCTTTTTTTAAAGGGCGCCTAAAAAAAAAAACAAAAAAAAAACAACGAAAAAAAAAAAAAAAAGCCATTGTGCGCTTATTAACGAATTCATCAGCAGGTAGAAAGACAGTGGACAGCTCTTCCATCGCTTCCCCGAAGAGGGTCCAGCCTCCGGAAGCTCGCTTATGCCAGCACATCGCCACAGGTTTGAAACGCAGGAAATAAAAATCGGGGCCAACCATTTTGAGTCCGACGCTTGCCTGCTTTAAACCCGAGCGTTGTGCGCCGAATGGCGCATAGCACGGCACGACCTGTTTTTGACCGCCATATCTGCGCAATAGTGGCGACCCCTACGTTGCTGTAGTTCAAGCTACTCGAAACCTGTGCCACTTTAAGCATACCATTTCGCGCAGACGCTATGGTTACATGCATGCATTTTTATAAACTACTTACAATCTAAGCAGTTTCTTTTTGTACTCAAATTTCCCAAAGAGCGCGAATAACCTACATTTTTGTCTAGATTATCTAAGTTCATAAAAGCAACAAAACAAATATTTTGGAACAGGTTCAAGTTCTTAACGATGATGCACTCTAAAAGGAATAAAATCTTTAAAACTTTAATTAACCTATTTTAAAGCAGTAAACAAACAACACACAAATATTTAATTCTCGATAAAAAAAATGCAGCATTCTTGTGTTTTGCTTTCAAACGTTAAGCGACTTACTTATCGATCTGATTAATAATCTAATATATCACCCGACATATCCAACTGTAGCGTATTTTGCGGGTATATCGCGGACTATACCTGTGTAAAAGTTGAAATATTAGGCTGTGCGAAATTTTGTTTTTCAAGATCGTTCATTGTGAGGAGACGTAACGGATTTTGTTAATGAAATAATATGTTAACAATGCTATATGTACAATAAAAGCTTCTTTGTGAGGTAAGAAAGCAGACACTGCCCAAAATGTGCTGTGTATGACAAATACAGATTTTTTCTTTTTTGCGGGGGGAGGGTAAGAATTTTTTTCGGATTCGGTGTTTTATCTGTAAATTGATTATAATTTATAGCTTAACATATTTACACAAAAACACCGAATTTGTAAAAAAAGCAACCCAAATTACAAAACAAAACAAGCACCGAAAACACGGAACCTTGCTTATAACTAGGCCGTAGGTTTTTCGATGTTCATTTATCAGGCAATATGTCAGATGTTTTTCGGCGTTTATTTTGAAGATATTTGTATTGGCGATTTTCATCACGCGTTTTGAACTGCTTTTACGGGTGCGTTGTTTGAGGTGGGGTTTGGCGTCGCTCGTCCGAGGGCGCCAGGGCTCATGCTGACGTCCATTCCCCTATCGCCGAAGTCGCGTTGTCCGAAGTGGAGGCGGGTGACGAAGTAACAGGATGAAAAATAAACACAGTTTCTTTACATGGGATGGGTGGTACCGTAATGGCAAATGGAAGACCCACAGTGGGCAGCCGGACAGGTCCTTATATAATAAAATGCACAATTCTGGAGCTGACGTGCTATATTGGTCGTTTAGTCCTGCATTCCGAAGCCGGCCTTGACGTCAGCAACCTCTTCTCGGCGTTGATGCTCGGTTGTTCCCAGAGTTGAAGGTGTATAGGGGGTGGATTGCCTAACTCGCAGCAGACGCAGACACAAAAAACTGCCCATCCGTTCAGGATCGGATATTGTCTGGCGTTCCCGTGGAATGCAGACGCTGTAGACGAAACACGCACACGGTAACGTACGTTCCCATGCACTTGAACCGAGGCCGCAGAGAAGCGCTTCTCCGGCTCTAGGTCAGACAGGTCAAACTTGCGAAAAGTCTTCGGGTCGCACGCCAACCGTCTGGACGTTCGCTTGGTCGTCGTCCGCACAGGTATGCAAGGTCGATCTCAAGATCGTCTTTTGACCACCAGGCGCTTTGAATAACTGATTTGTTCGAAAACCCTGGAAAGCGAACCTGCCACCACAGACTTGAATCCGTTCTAGTTGCTAGGCGTCGTCAATTTCGTTGGAATCATCAATATTTAAGTTATCTGCTTCAGACGCATGCTAAAAACGGTGATTATCGGCGAAAGAAAAAAAAAAAAAAAAAAAAAAAACTCAAAACTTTAGGAGAAGGTGCCGACAAAAGCTGTCCTATCAAAGTAAAAAAACGTTAAAACCGGTGTTTTCTGTTTCAACTAATTTTGCGTTTTTTGCACCAACGAATGTTTATTGACGTTTTTCGTGGTTTAAACGGACTTTGTATTGTTGACATCGACTACATTAATCGGTGTTTTTCATTAAAAACCTGTTAGTCTACGTACGGCCTATTCATAACCCTGTAGCTAGTTTTACCCTTAATCTTGTACCACGCTTAAGTGCGAGGTCAAACCTAAAGATTTATAACGTTAATCACTTAATGAATCTATCTTTCCCGCTTCCCAGCTAGGCTTGATCGGGGCACCTACTGTCCATCATGACCGTGTCTCGGTCCAAGGTCCGGGTCGGACCCCGAGAAGGGTTCGTGGCCCTGGACTCACCCTGGAGCTGGGTGGTGAGCGTGGCCTCCGCCTGGATCGACTTCTGGTCGTACGTGCTGTTCCGCAGCAGCGGCGTCCTCTTCGTTGCCGTGGTCAGCGTCATGAGTGTGAGCCGTGGGCAGGCCTCCTGGCCCTTCAGCCTGGTCAACACTCTTTACCAGCTCATGGGTGAGTGGTGCGTTGACACTGGACGAGACTTTTCTAACGAACTCCTTGTTGAAGACAAGTGGCCTCGAGACGCGGGCGGAAACCCTACGTACAAACACATGGCTCTTATGTCACGCCGGATGCATCGCTGGCCAAGCGTGTTGGTCCACCGCAGCTCGGAGCACGTGGAGCAGTTGATTTGGACAGCAGAGTCCAAGCATCCTCGGCTCAATACCCACCCTCGCTCGTCTTAATATCGATGAGCATCGTGCCAGCGTGCGGTCGTGTATCGTTACCGCGTGATGCACGTTAAAGAAATCAGATTAGCGGTCGCACTGCACCGGGTAAATTTCGCATCCACATCGGAGAAACCAGACGAGCATTGGGGCTGACTATGCTGGGGGTCAACTTTCTGTGAGAATGAAGAGAAAGCTAGGGCAAGGGGCGGAGCTAGCGGCTCTTTATTATTGCGCCAAGTAGTTCCGGACTCTTCAAACCGGTAGCTCAGTAGGTCCAACCATTCTCAAGGTCGTGTCCTCAAGGTCACGCGACTCCCGTGGCTATAGTGCTCGTGGCTGAAACTCAACGTCGTGTTATCAAGGTCACATAATGCCCGTGGCTGAAGCGATGATGGCCAAAGCGTAGGCTCCGGTCGCGTAAGATCGTAAGCGATATTCGCGTAAGCGCCGATGGCGTCAACTCCGATAACTTAAGCTCCCTTCGCACGCGCGCGCGTACAAGAGAGCGAGAGGGACAGAGAGAAAAGGAGAGAGATCCACCACGGGCTCAAGGTCGCGTTTTCAAGGTCACGTGACGCCCGTGGCTGTAGTGAAACAACGCCCAACTTGAATTAAGTGAGAGCTCAAGGCCATCTAACCACGAATTCAATTGTAATGCTAATATAATATATAGGAAACATATTTTATAAGCACTAAAGCAAAAAAAAAAATCCAGTTTAAATAAGGAAAACATTCAAACGTGAGAAATGTTTTCCTAATGACATAAACCGAGCTACACCCAATGCCTGCAAATTATATGCAACATGCTTTAACCCTGTTTGTGTTTTAAGTGTGAGTCAGGCTTGCGTACATGATAATTCAGTCCTTTGCACGCACTTGCGATTTTTTCAGGGCCAATCACGGGTGTTCTAATCATGAAGGGCTATATCAAAAGCATCTCTATCTTGGGAACATTTCTGAGTGTGGCTGCTGCATTTCTGTGTTTTGTGAAGTTCGACTACACTTCTCTGCTTGTCTTCATCCCGTTGGCAGGTAAGGCGGAATCAGGAACCACATTTTGTCTGGGATGTTCTTATTTGCACATTCCACGACACAATTAACGCGAAAACAACTGGGCTTCTCTAGCCTTTTTCTGTAACAGGGTACGGTGATGTTAACAAATTTTATTTCTTTGTCTGATCCTTATATAAGTGAATTTTTTCACCCTACTATTTTCGCTTACAGCTTCTTTCAACTTTACAAAAGGAGATAAAACTGGAATTCGCTCGTTAATGTTAATTATGTCGAACTCTGTACCTATCTTTAAGATATAAGTAACTGAGGAAAAAAACACAGAGAATACTACTTTCACAGAAAAACAAGCATCTTAATCGTGTAGGGCTTTCTCTCTATTTTGCTTCACGGTACTTTTTATGTGTAAAACAACGTATGTCTCTGTAAATAAAAGCTAGAATTTAGTTCAATCTAGATCTGTCCCAATCTTGATAGCTTACTTATTTGTCAATTTTATAAGGAAAACTCCACAGTGTTGCTGATTGAGGCTAAACTTCATAGAGTAGATGTGAAAATTGATGATAAAGTTGTTCTTCGAGAACTTTTCTGCGGTGCTCACTCCGGCTTAGGAATAAGATATTCCTAACACTTACTTTCAGGAATAGGGCAAGGTCTCTGCACACCAGTGAACTCGGTGTTGGTGAACCAGTTCTTCGACAGGTACCTGTCCTCAGCGAGTGGCATAAGCCTGACCGGAATCACGCTGGCCTCCTTTGTTTTCCCACCCGTGGTCACGCTCCTTCTCGAAACGTACGGTCTCCGAGGTACATTCCTGATTATCAGCGGCCTCAGCCTTCACGCCGTTGCTGGAGCCCTTTTGACACGGCCTCCACCCTGGATGTTCAAACGACGGCGATCCGAAAGCCTGCCCCTCGCCAACGGCGATTCCGACAAACTTCACGAGAAACACAGCGAAGATACTTTCAAGAGCTCTACCATCGTGGATGAAGAAACGACCTCGTCCAAACTTGGGAGCATGGTTTCGGTAGCCTTGGACGCGACAGCCGCTCAAGTCGTGGCGCTTGCCGACCACGACTCCGACGAAGAAACAGAGAAGAAAGCCTCGAAAAACAACGACGAAATTGTAATCTACGAGATGCAGCGCCGCGACCGAAGTCCCGTGTATCAGTCGACGGTAGTGACCCTCCCGAGGTCATCTGTGCTCCAACTTCCGGTGCCTAAGGGGTCCTCCTGGATGAAAAAGGTCCGGTTCTTCAAGAAACCCTTCTACTATATAATCACGGTGCACTGGATCAGCTCCAGCTACGTGAACTTCTGTTTCCTGGTAAGCCTGGTGGACCTTGCACTCAGCATTGGTGTGGACTCCAGGTCAGCGTCTATGGTACTCTCCGCGTACTCTGTCGGGGACCTCGCTGGCAGACTGCTTTCCGGGTGGATCTCGGACAAGAGGTTTCTCAGCAGGCCGAGCGTGATGATGCTGAACTGCGGCGTCCTCAGTGTCGTGCTCTTCCTAGTGCCCCACTGCAACACTTATCCCTCGCTGGTGCTGGCGAGCGTGGCTGTGGGCTGGTGCGTCGGCAGCTGTGTCATCCTCTTCACGGTGCTACTCGGTGCAGTGGCTGGGCTGGAGAACCTTTCGCTCGCCATTGGAGTGACCACTTTCTTCCTCGGCATTGCCACTCTTGCCAGGCCCACCATGATTGGTAAGGGACGAAGCAAGGTTTGGTATGAGGTAGTGTTCCGTAACCGGGAGAGGAATTGTTATTTTCAGAGGAAAACATTTGTTGCACTGTTTTTTACGAGAAAGTTATTCTACGGATCTTTAAGACTTTGTTACGAATGACAATCAATGAGTCGACAAAACACTGAAACAAACTAAACGTTTATTCGGGCGAGCCTGTGCCCAAACAAAATAAAACTGAGCGCTCGATAACCGCTCACTTTGTTTTAAGCCTTCGCTGGGAGCCTATAATATTCTGCTCCGATTCTTGCTAAACTTATTTACGCTAGGCGGTTCTTCCAAGCTTCTCTAATATTCTACTTACATAAATAAAAGTAAAAGGACGTGCTGTGACGGGAACCGAACCCGAGTCATCTTCATGGGTGTGAGCCCATCGCGCTGCCGACTTGGCTAAGGCCGCGGAAATACCAGTTTTTGGAAATACGGCCGCGGTCTATGTTCGGGTAATTTGTTTGCTGTGTGGATAGAACGAGCTGAACACATATGTAAAGAGAAAGGCAAGGAAACCGAGGGAAATGGGCGAACGGTGAACAAACCTTTTCATCTTAGTTTTTTTTTTTTATGTTTCTCTATATGTCCGGCTGGTTTTATTCGCAGGCATGACCCAACTTGGCCAGCTCCAACCCGTCGTTCAATTTTCGCTGTCTTTATCACAAATCGTCATTTTCATGCAGTACGAGTAAACGTGCAACAATAAGTGACGAAGGTACGACCTACAGGAAGGGGAAACGAAGGGTGGAGGTTGAGACGTATTGCGTGTGCTCCTTTTTGTCGTCCGTCGTCTCCAGTTAAAATTATTGTGGGAAAACGTGCTTGATTAACGGGGTTTGGCAATCACTGCTGCACCGGAATTAAGGCTTGGACATAATGTAGGCTACATCTGCTCTTTATAATATAATTTTAGTGCAGTGTTTGATGCTGGATTTCTATCGCGACTTTTGGCACGTCTTTACGTTCATTATCTTTCCTATGGCGTGCTTCCATATATTCGGAGCGAGGCCACTAACAGGGTGTTAACGTATATGCCAGCGCTGTTATCAGCTTATCACTGAAAACACGTCTTGTGTTCAAGTTTCATCTGATTACCACCATACGCCGCTCAACATGTTGTAGATAACTAAATAATGCTCGTCGATGTCAGCTTTTAGCCCGAGTCTCGCAGACATTATTAAATCAAACCTTTTGTACCATTCAACTACGGGTAAATGACTGTCCTTTCACGTGCTGCTCCACTACGTTTGAAACACTGAAAAGTGGAAAAAAAAAAAACGGTAAAATAAGTTTGGTCAGTGTAATCGCAAAAAGATGTCTCTCCGTTTTCTTTTTTTTTTTTTTGTGTCAAATCTCGGACTTTTATCAAAAGGGTTTATTGTCTGTCTCGTCAAGTATTTTTTTCTATCTTTCAGGACAAGGGGTCATTGTTTTTCGGGGTGGCGATTAAAACACTGTTCCGGTTTCCAATTTGAACCATAATATTCTTGCTTCCCCAGTGCCTAGGCCCAGGAGTTTGGTGATTTCAAGTTATGGCCGTTTATTGAAGCGACAATTGTCGGCAAGTTTTGTCGTCATATAGTATAACAAATGGCAAGTGCGCCAACGACCAATTCAGCTGAACGAATTTAATTGGGTAAATATACACTTTTATAGATATATGAACCGGGTTCGCCTGTATGTATATATATTTCTTATTTTTTTAATTTGTGAAACCGGGAATACAGCTAAATTAAACCCGCATTTCACACACTTGGGGATTTAACAAAGGTAAACTCCAAAAAACTAAGAACTTTAGAAAAATATAAACTCTGAAAAACACCCTTCGAATATCATCTGAATCAAACTCTGAAAACACGGAACCATAGTTATTAGGTAGGGATTGGAGTTTTCGGTTTTTATGTTTTCGAAATTCGCCACACATTTTTCGGTTTTTATTTTAAAATTCAATTTTCGGTTTTCTTTTGTGTATATTTATGCCCACAAAAGTTTATCGTTTTTTTTCGGTGAATATGGAATAAACACTAACGGACACCGGATCAGATGATCCTTGTGGCTCTGATATTTGTGATCACTCAAAGAATAACGGCACAGATTCATTGAAAAAGAAATGGACACTTTACTTGGCAAACGTGTGCAAGTGTAAAAGAAACAAGAAAAAACAAACACAGTAGTACAAACAATTCAGATATGAAGCTTATGCCCCCCAAAACATGGAACTTCACCTTCTGTACATCAGGATTACGTGATCTTATTATAGTAAACACGCATATAATTTCCCAGGTTTTACTCGTTGAGCCGCACTCTTTCTTTCCTGTTAAAATGACCCTGAGCATCCAGAAGGGCCTCTTAAAAGGATACTTCAACGAAATTTCGGCGCTCATTTTTTGGTCTATATGTGTTCGAAGGAGCAGTATCACATCGGACACACCAATATCTTGTTAAAAAAGTCTCGAAAAGGAATTTCGAAACGAATTAAACGAGTAGCAAAGAGCACCTGGTGGATGTCGCTAGCGCCTCGCTTGTAATGCCCGTCTAGGAACCTTGACAGCTAGTGATGGAGGTTGTCTCGCCTCCGGTCATGACGAGAGAAGAGGGGTAGGAGGAACTCCCCTCTTCCCGAGAATGCCTTTTATGTGTCGCAGAAGTCGCTATTGTCCCCCTACAGGATTACAGAAGATTAACCCGTCACTCAAAATTTGTACAAAAGCAGCCGCTTCGGTGGCTGGAACGACTAGGCCATTTTCTCGACGTCAGCCTCACCGTGGCTTTGCTCGTCCCGAGACGAACTACGTCACGATTGCGTTGGATGTCACGTGGTCTCCGCTGGCTGTACTCCGAGCGCTTGCCCGAGTGGGCCATTTATAAAAAAAAAAAGAAATGCAGCCACCAGGCTCAAAATACAAACCTGCGATTGTCATTTACGGATATTGTGGATTATATTCAACTTGTTTTTGAACACGACGGGCATATTTCAATTTTCATTGAAAAATCCCTTTAACGCAAACACTGGACACTGGCAGGCTGAGGGGATGAAGCGCTGCCTGAGCCAAAATCAGTCAATCAATCAAATGTGACCTCCAAAAGAGACACGGTGCGACGTTTTGAAGCACAACATATTTTGTGTGCTCACTAAACTCTGGCTGCAGATCCTGCATCAAGCTAGGCTTTCTTGCAACGAGTTTGAAAAAACGCTTGTACGTGACCAAGTTATGGGGTATTTCGGTCGTGATGGCATCCGTGTATCCCATACATTCAAACACGTTTCGATAGACACTGTCGTTCCACTTTTTTTGCCGCGGCTCTGCGGTACGACTGGAGGGTCAAACTGACCTTTTCCGGTCAAGACAAAATTTTAGAAAATGGATTCGACTTACTTTTACCGGTTTTTATCAGTTTAAATCGAAAACGCCGAACCTACAAACTGACGTTTTTCGGTTAAATCCGAATTTCCGATAGTGGATTTGGCGTACTTTATCGGTTTTTATTGGTTTAAACCGAACCCTAGTTATAGGGCGCTTCCCGTTTCCGTCTTGAGATGGCGTGCAATAAGCCGGAAACCCAAATAATAGAAATGTTTGGCTTGCTGACTGCCAATGGCATCAATAAATAAGCCATTTCATCTTCACGGTCACAATATATGCTCAGCGTCATTTGTCGTGGATATTGCAGCATATCATCTCCAAGATTAAAGGATAAGATTTTGGTTGACATAAACTTATTTCTCATGTGCCTGAACGCACGAGGCCCTTGCTACCATCACAATTGTTGGTGGTTTCCGGCGGGTGGCTGAAGCTTTGTTTATGTCGTACCTCAAGAGCATGAATGTATACAAAAGGCTTATATTGAACTGTTTTTTTTTCTTTTCAGCACATTTTAGGGACACGAAAGGGAGCTACGACGGTCTGTACAACCTGCACGGAGCTGTGTATGGAATGCTCTTCGTGGCTTATGCCTCCAGATTCTGCTACCAAAGATTTTCTTCAAGAAGGCTAAAGTCTTGAACAGGTTACTAATTTCAGAATCAGAGCTCAACATCCTGCGAACTTTTACATAAAGATTCGGTTTAAAGTAATGGGCGCAAGAAATACGAGATAAAGTGAATTTAGTGTGAGTAAGACCATTCTCATGTCCTTTATTTCTGAGAAATTTCAGCTTACGTTGGCACGGAGAAAAGGTGTATCTTTTAAATCAACAGGTTTATGCTATATGCAAACCGACCTTGAATACCAGAAATATGTATCGTTACAAACAGGTCCGCAAAAGCACGTAAGTGCTGGTGGGTAGACTTCGGGGCAAGCTGCCTGAGGTCTGATCACTATCCTTTATTCAGAACCAATCAGAGCTCGGCGTTCTCGCGTCACCGCAACCCTTGCAAAAGAAGCAGACGAACTTGCGTTTCGCATAACCCACGGATTAGGAAGAAATCCTTAACCTGATTAATGGTCTTAAAAACAGTACTGCTGCAAGGGAGAACGGCCTCAAATCAGGACCAATTAAGCATATTTCTATACTAATATCCACTCCGCCAACACAGATATTCAACGTGTCATTATTAGCAGGTAGCAAGCCGAATGAAAGTAGCGCGAGTTTGCGTTATACACAAGGGTGGTGCACAAAACGTCTTCAATAATTACAGACAAATCTCTGTATTACCCGTTTTTCTAAATTATTATAACAAATATAAATAGCAGACTAACTAGTTTTTTTACAAAACACAAAATAATTTCAGAACAGCAGTTCGAATTTCAAAGGAATAAATCGACGGAAATGGCACTTCTAAATATGAAAGAGAAGATTATAACCAATATAGAAAATAAGCAATATACAATCGGAATATTTCTTGACTTTCAAAAAGCCTTCGACTCAATTAAACACAAATTACTGTTAACAAAGCTGAGTACCTATGGTGTAAAGGGCAAAGCGCTAGAGTTTATATGCGGTTACTTGAGCTGTCGTTCACAATTTACCGTCTATAACGGTGTTCGGTCTGATATTCAACAGATCGCATATAATGTCCCACAATGATTCATTCGAGGACCATTATTGTTTCTTGTTTATATTAATGATACTGCACATATCTCGCATTTTGCGGACATGGTATTATTTGCTGACGACTCCAATGTTTTATTTTCTCACAGTGACCTCAGACATCTCGAAAGTGTATCAAATGATTGGTTAAATAAACGATCCACTTGGCTAGCGAGAAACCATACTGAATTGAATTTTTTAAAACTAAATATATTATTTTCAGGGCAAAAAAACAAGGCGCTTATTTATGACATCGATATAAAATTTCATTCAAACAAATTTGAGAAGGCGGAATCCATGAAGTTCTTGGGTATATGGTTTCACGAGAATTTGCACTGGACAATTCATGTATCTAAACTATGTTTGACCCTCTCCCGATCAATCGGCATATTACATAAACTAACACTCGTACACCAACATGGCTTAAGCGCCAACTATACTGTGCACCCACTTGCGCACTCTCACCTACTTTGCTGCTCATTGGTTTGGGGAACGACATCAAAAAGCAGCCTTGCAAAATTTTTAGTACAAAAAAAAAAAAGCAATTCGGTCCATTGCATGCTTGGGATATATTGATCACACACACTTTCATTTTAAGAAGTATAATTTATTCAGTATCCAACAGTTAATCTTTTTCAACTTTGCGAAAGTAATCCTCAATTCTCTTATAAACAATAAGGAGTCTTTTGTTAGTCGATTTTCTTTAAGAGGCACCCGATATAACATGAGACGTATGGAATATGATAGAGGCCAAATACGTACTAATTATGGAGAACAAACATTGAAGCAGCAATTAGCACAACTTTTAAATATGCATTCACAAATTCTCAATATAGCAACTAAATCAAGATCTGCAAATACATTTAAAAAAGTATAAGGGATTATATTTTCGAGCATGTATAAAGTACTGTGCAGAAATGCTGCCAGACATTTCACTGCGTTAAAAATGTACATATTTCTTGTTATTTTTGCTCTCTTCTTGTGTTTCATTTGTGTATATATATATATATATATATATATATATATATATATATATGAACGAATATGTGCAGATGAATGAACCGTACTTAATCCAATGAATTAAAGAATCCAAGTTTTTCAGGAACCCGCCGAAAGCCAAAAAACGGCGGAGCCAGGATATGAACTCTGGGCCTCCCAATGTCCGGTCGGGTGTGCTAACCACTACACTACTCCACCTTGACTTCCTGGCGTTTCCTACCTGTCTTATTAATGCACAAGAAACGAAATGTATCCAATCGGAGGTGTTCTGGAAACACACGCCGCCGCGTGGAACGCGGTACGACGCTTAGTGTCACGTGGTACGTGCTCGTTTGTGCTCCAGAAATCCTCCCACTGTTTGTCTCGCCCCGTGTACATGTAGTAGTATTCTTTGTTTATGAGCTTTAGAGACACGGTATCATCATCATCTGCGAGAATCAAGAGCCACGTTATTGAATATACAACACGGGCACTTCACGTCATCGTACGTGGTCTCCGAGGAGGATATGAACGAATATGTGCAGATGAATGAACCGTACTTAATCCAATGAATTAAAGAATCCAAGTTTTTCAGGAACCCGCCGTGTTCCTTGTAAGAGCTGCACCGCTCTGAAACCTGTATGGGGTATGGGAACTGGGTCAGATGTTTGAATGCACCTTCTGTCCCTGGCACCACAAAATAAAATGGCAAATAAAAACAAATGCAAATACAAAATACATTCTGCACTGTTGCGCTAAAAATATCGCGCTCTGTCCACTTGTGGAGCTACCCAGGGTCCTGAATACCTAACCGAACTTTACGTCTTCGTAAATATTCCTTTATTTGGTGGTCTTCTAAAAACAACTAGGATAAAAAATAATAAAAAAAGAATAATGAAAGAACGCGCATAAAGTTTTTATTTAGTAACATATAGCTCTTTTTAAAATTGTATCGGTTGTCAAAATAGACAAACAAGGTATGCCTTCTTTTGAAGAGAACAGTGAGTGTCGGGTTTTAAAGTTCTTTTAGTACAAAAAGTCACAGACAGCTTAAGGGGGAATGGTAGGGTAAACCAACCAAAAAATTGATTTTGCAGTTTTAGTGTTAAAACATTATATAGCGCTCTAAGAAAAAAAAAAAAAAAAAAGCAAGCGACAAGAGCGAGCGAGTTTTCGAAGCCACTTGAATATGGCGCTAAAATCCGCGCTCCCTGGCCATTTACCATTGAGGGGAGGCCTTAAATATTTTTTTTCTCGAAATGACTTTTTTGAAATTTTTGAAAATTTTATGTGCCTTTACTAAAAAATTACTTATCCGGTTACACTAAAACGTTTACAGCTTATAGTAAAATATATTACAAATAGTTTGAACCTGACGTTTTAAGAATTCACTACATTATAAGGTTAAAAAACTAAATAAAAAAGTTTCCCTCTAATAACTCATGACTAGGAAAAATAATATTTTTTTCTGGCATGCTGCATGTTCAATTTTTGTTTTTAGGTTCAGTTAAAAGCCAGTAGCATGTAGAAGATATGGGCCAAACTAAATGAGCATCCTATTTTTGTTGTTTAAAAAAGGTACATTAAAAACTAGAAGTCAGCTTAAGATTTGGCATTCTGTTACTAAAATATATACAAAAAACGCTTTAGTAAAATGCAACAGAAAGTTAATCCCAAAGGAGTATCCATTCAATACATAAAATGTCGCAATAAAACATGCAGTAGTTCTTGAGATACAAAATTCAAACCAAGATGACCCGTCTACCACACCATCCCCCCTAAGAAATGCCGAACGTGGTTTATTATGTTAAGCCTTCTCACTTCGTGATTGGCTCTTGAGTATTCTTATCGGCTAAAGGGGCAACCTGATTGGCCGCAAAGAGTTAATGAGATGCTCGCGGACTCGCCACACCCTGCCCTTTTTTTTTTTAAGTTGTCAGTGGCAATAAGTATCATCCGTGGCGCTGTGTACGTTTACGAAACTTTCCACGTAACTTCGTGACGAGAGACTAGTGTCGTAGGAACAGCGCGGCACTCTCACGAGACCCGGCGCCCTGCCTATTATCAGATAAAGCGGACTTGAGGGGATCAAAATAAACGCGTCATTTACAGCCTCCGAGCGGGCGTTTTCCTGATAGGACATCAGGAGAGACACAGAGACAAACTATAGCAAGGTCGGTACCGACCTTCTAGCAGTTCACTATGTTACAACAGACGTCATTCAAAATTTAAAAGGAAAAAAAGCCTCGCTTTTAACGTATACTTGCGAGGAGTTGTGTAGCTTCAACGGTTGACAATGATCCAACTTCACTACGACCGTGGCAAGTGTGGTTTGAAGAAAGAAGGTTTCACTGGAGAGAAGAACTCTGCACCTTTATGATGATGACGGCAGTGAGAGAAACAGTGGTCGACTTGGCTACGTCGAAGTCGCCGAGGATATCTCGAGACCCAGATGTCATCATCGGGACAGATTCCAGACGAAGTTGGATGATCTGTTTTGGAATCGGTGCGGTGCTTTTCTGCGGCAGCTGCATCCTCCACGCAGAAACCGTTCTCGCCAAGTCCATTGCAGACACCGTCGGAGTGCCAACGTACAACGCGTCGTGGCCTCTCTACGTGGCGTACCTGGCTGGTGCCTTCGTGGGTGAGTGACTGGGTTCATACTTCTTTCTAAACGTCTGCTGCGCAACCAGCAGCGCATGGTCAAACAGACTTGGTCTATATTCCGTTACATTTCACAACTGACTGCAACTGACGCTGTGAGCCACTTCAGCTTATTCAGCGTTGTAAAGGCATCACGTTATTGCGGCTCTAGCGAGCCCCTGCGTTCTTCCAGCAGGTCATGTGACACTCTTGCGTCACTTGACCGGATTCAGTGGCTCGTAGTGCTCCCTGCGAGCCATTTTAAGATAAACGGGATTACTGTGTGCAACTTAGAGGGCAGCACGACCAAATCTTCCTGTACAAGCTTGCAATGCTTACCTTGTCGTTTACAATGGGCTCTCTGCATCGTCGTCTAGTCCCTTTCCTAGATCTGTTCTGACAGGCTACTTTGAAAATATACGAAAGCATCCGCGAAGAGTTCTGTCGAAGAAAGGTAAAAAAAGCGCAAGCGAGCTCGTGAACTTCGTTGTTCTGTCCGCTTTAATTTCATTGTTCCAACCTCTCCGGGTTACTATGGAAAAGTTCTATAAACTTTTAGTATTAGACTCTACCTAATTGTGGCAAAATCCTGACACTGCGCAGTAGTCACATTTATTTTTTTAAATTGGCAAGGACATTTCTACAGCGTTTGCGGGTTTTTCTCCCTCCCATATTGTTTCTAAATGCGACAGCGTTTGCTTAGGTTATAACTCAAACCAAAAAATATAGATGGAAGAAACAGCGTCCACCCTAGATTTTCGTCTCCTCGGTCTGGAAGTATCCTGAAATTAGTTTGGAGATAGGATAGTCGTGCGACAACGTATCTTGTTTTATGATGGGCTGTTCTGATTTCTAGCCCTCGAGCACATTACGTAAGTAAGCCGGAGGATTGTAAATCTATAAATGCGTCGAAAGTTGCGGATGGTTTTTAATGCGCCCTTACAAAATTGTCATATCTGGACTTATATTAAAATATACAGATATGGATATATAAGGAAAGGGGCAGGTATGGCGAGATATGCATAATCAGGCGGTATCTGGATGGATAAAGTCATATCTGTCCAATTCTTTATATACGCATATCTGCCCAATTCCTTATATACCACATATAGACTGCTTTATATGATGCCGTGTTTGGGCCTGGCAAATAGGGTACCCACCCGATATAAAGCAATTTTTATGTGATGCTCCTTTTAGCATCACATGAAAATTATTGCCATGGGGCAGGTACCATAGTTTCTAGGTCCAGATATGGGAGGATATAATGCATTTCTACGAATATCCACAAAATATACATTTTACTGCTATCCCACGCTGCGAAACGTGTATTTACGTAGATATATCGACAGAATAGGCCACTGACCAATCTTTATTGATCTAGCTCGAAATTTGTCATTCTGACAAATATGTACGCTACAAAGATTGAATGCAGGCGATCGCTAGTTAGAAAACATTGTAACATATCATTCGCCGTCGTAAAGTCACAGTTCTTTGGCGGGACTGATTGTCGAGGGAGCAGACCGGGAATATGGTTTGCGAAAAAAGTTTCATACATAAAAGCACCAAAAAACCAAAAAAGCACCTCCCCTGTTCAAGAAAAAATGATAAGAGACAAGACTGTAATATTACACGGACAACCATTAAAATAAAATAAAAATGTAATAGCACATGGACGCCTATTAAAATAAAACAAAAGGAAGGCGACAATTAAGCTGTAAACTATACGAAAGTTTGAAAGTCGTTGATTCTTAATCACAGAGTTTGTCCTGATTCACCTCTCTGGTCGAGCACTGCAGTTTTGACATGGGTTTGCTTGCTAGGCTCGTCGTTTAAGTCCTTCCTTGCACCGTGCGATGTTCAAAGTCCCCCAGTCGCTGCTCGCTGGCCTTGTTTTTCCGTTCGGTCCACAAAGCATTCATT